ATGAGGCAATCGTCTTTGGAAGGTTGATCATAACTCCACGAAAAATACGCAAATTCATCTTGTTTGCTCATTTTCTTGAGCTTCGGGCACTCAAATTTTCAGTGGCCAAGCTTTCCGCACTTATGACACCTTGGGGTGTTTTTCTTCTTGCTCTTGTTTAGCTCATGTTTCAGAAACTCGTTAAAACATTCAACCAAAATATCACAGGAAGTGCTAGAATCACTATCACTATCCGAATCCGAATCACCAATCTCTACTTTTTGAGAAGAAGATGCTTTAAAAGCAATTCCCGTTCTCTTCTTAACGTCAAGAGTATGAGAAAGATGATTTGTTTCGTAAGTGATAAGGTTACCTCGAAGACCGTCGTATGTGATGACGTTGTAATCTCGGCCTTCATAAATGGAGTTAACCTTCGACTCCCATTCCTTGGTAAGACTTCGCAAAATTTTTCTCACTAACTCTTTGTCGGTGAGTGTCTTTCCAAGCATATCAAGGTCGTTGATGATGTTTGAAAATCTTCCAAACATGTCCTCCACAAGTTCGTTCTATTTCATAGCAAATAACTCATATTCATGGGTTAGTAAATCAATTTTTGATTCACGAACTTGAGGCGTACCTTCGTATGTGATCATGAGCTTGTTCCACATTTGATTGGCGGTTTGGCAACGAGATATCTTTTGATAATCGTTGGCGTTGACAGCACAATACGAGAAGTTGATGGCAGTGGCATTTAATTGAGCCTTCTTAAGATCGGCTTCATCATATTCATCCTCGTCCTTCGGGATGAGTGTATCGCCTATCTTCTTCATTGGCAAGCTATCTCCATTCTTGATAGCAAGCCAAATTTTGAAGTTATTAGATTGAACAAAAATTCTCATACGCTCCTTCTAATAGGAGTAATTTGTTCCATCAAAAAATGGCGGCCTTACGGTGGATTGCCCTTCTCCTATCCCTGCGTTCAACATTCTCAAAAAAAAATTTGATCGTTTTCTCAAACGTCACAAGGAGCGTTAGAGATACCCGCTCCGATACCAATACCCATAACCTCTGGATTTGATTTTTTGGGAATAAGGACCACATCCGTAGCCCCCCATCTCTCTTGGGATGACTCCGAAATTTAATTGGGAAATGCAATATGCTGTAACATCAGTCCCTATAATATCCCAAAAATGTTGGAAGAAGCCTGGTATAAAACCGTACACCCCCGGGGATTTGTCGGGATGCATAGAAAATACCGCTTGTCGAACTTCTTCATAGGAATAAGGCTGTCGTAACATAGCATTATCCTCCCTTGAGACGAGAGAGGGAATTAATGACTGAATAATCTGATCTGCATTTCCTTGGGCATGATAGAGCTCCTCAAAATATTCCTTAATGGTATCCTCAAGACCATTGCTCCATGTATGCAACTGACCATTGGAATTCTTCAACTTGTCGATCCTGTTGAGGCGCTGTCGTTCAGAGGCTTGAGCATGAAAGAATTTTGTGTTGCGATCTCCTTGAGTGAGCCAAAATTGTTTAGCTCGCTAACACCAAAAAGCCCCTTTAAGAGCATAAAGTTCAAACAACCTCTTTTTAGCTCACTCGAACTGCATACGACTATGGTGGTCTCGACGCCCTCGAGTACGCCTCTGGATAGTCTTCATGATATTGATCTCTGAAGCAAACTGAATGTAATCTTTGTGAACAAAAGTTTAATTTCTCTTCTAATGATGCTGCATGGCTAACCTCCAAAGATTCAGGAACTCATCCACCTGAATGTTTGATTTCACACACCGTTATGATTTCTACAACTTGGTATAATCCCAACACCAAGAATACAAATTCCTTACAAAAAGTAAGAAAACAAACCATAGGGTATAATTTCCCAACACGGAGTAGATTGTTGAAAATACAATGAAGTCCTATAATACACGAGAAAATCTCTCAAGGACTCAAGCAATGAGGATAAACTCAAGCAAGAAATGATTTAGCAATCAAAACAATTGCCTTGTTTGAATATTTAAAGGTGAATGCGTAGAATCTCTTTGGATTTTCAAAGGAAAGGTTTCCAAATGTTTTTTGGTGTTCTTTCAGAGATAAAAACAAAGTATTGAAGTTTATAGAAGTTGGGGAGATGTTATACATCAAAAGGATTGGAAAAAAACTAATCGTTTGGAGGTTGAAGCTGCCCATTTATTCGACGAATAAGACAGATAGTTTCTATGACCGGTAAACATATGCACTTATTCGTATAAAACACTGCATTTTTAGCCACTGTAAAAACTACGATTTATTCGAATAAACCAAAGGTTATTCGGGGAGAAGAGCAACTTCTCCATACAAAAGCTGATCTAATAGGTGTTTTGAAGGTAGGATTATCAAGGAATGAACCTTAGACATGACATATTCTTTAACACACATTCTAAGACCTAAAAGACTACCTAATCAAGGTAACATCATCTTCGGTCTCGATCGTTCAACAAATGGAAAAAGCCCCTTATTCACGGACGGTTGGGAACTTGTTGCAGCTATGATTCTTAGCCTTAATGCACAATATGAGGGTGGTCTTGGTCACCTTTTTGTCATTATCAAAAGCTAATAGACAATGGGTAAATGGCATTACAAATATACATATTCATGATAACACATTGTCCAACAGAATTCTTTGTCTTGGTAGTTCTGACCCGTGAGTTCAAGTGGCTTAAATGCCTTTCGTAGTTTCTACATATCTATCACGCCTCATATATGTAGGTTTGTTTATGACTGCATGACTGGATTGACTGATCTCCACATTGTGGCTAATCTAGTCTTCCACGAATATATTAATCACATTGAAGTTGATCACCATTTTATTCGTGATAAGTTGATCACCATTTTATTCGTGATAAGTTGATTGTCATTTTGTTCGCACCTACCTATCCATCTTCAATGTGCAGATATTTCACCAATGCTCTTTGAAAGGGCCATTTCGACACTTTTCTTCCCAAGTTGTACAAATTACTTCCTTCTTAAGTTTGTTTTTAAATTATAGATTTTTTAGACTGTGGGATTTATTTATATTTTACTTCTCAATATAGTTAGTTGAAATTTAGAAATATGCAGTTAGGCCTATTAATAGGTCAGGTTTAGATCCAAACGTAAAAAAACCTACATCTTTTAGCAAGGTTGGACCTATAAAAAATCCATTTACCTATACTTGAAATAGTACTCGTTATTTATTTCAAATTTAGGGTCAAGTATAGTGTAACTAGTTTTGACTCGTTTAACACTAATACTACTAAAAGATTACTCCCTACATTTGATAAAAATAGTTCCACTTTCATTTTTGTGCATCCTACAAAACATTTCTATCCTACATAAATGTTTAAAATAATCCCAAAATAATTTCTACCTGCAATAAAGGAGAAATGAGGTATATTTTAGACATTTTAGGTGAGAGAATATGTGTTTTGTAGGATGCACAAAAAATGAAGGTGAAAATATTTTTTGAAACGAAGGAAGTATATAAAAATAAATATTGTTCTTATAATTCTACACAATCTAAGACTTATTGAAAACTCTACTTCCCTCACATATAGAAAATATCCAAGTACGGATTATCTAATTATCCATGATCATGACCTTAAGAGCATTTACAATTCTACCCAAGTCTCTCCCCATCGCTCTTTATATATATAGACACACACACATGTATATATATGTATATATATATATACGACTTTGTTCATATTGTAATTATCAGAAATACAAGAGAATTTCTCCCAATTCTATATTCTTTCATGGTATTGGAGCCAGGTTTCTAAAAATTCTACAGTTGATTGGCCCATCGGCATTGAGCCGTCCGCAGCTGCTGTTTTAGCCCACCTCATTTCTTAAGATGTCCGTTTAGAAGTTCATTTCTAGCGGCCCATTTGTCTTTAGACCAATTGTCCGTATGGAAAAAAATGACATGTGGCCCATGTAACCCAATTGTTCGTCTGGAAGTCCATGCCCAACAATTCGTGGTCCTTAGGTGTTGGCACTTTCAATCCTTTCATTTCTTGGGGAGGGGGAGTCAATTTGTAAGTGGTCAACCAGTTAGATTCAAAATGATCCGGTTGTCCACTTATGGGAGAGTGTTAAAGAGTATCCCACATCGAAACTTGAAAAGAAAATAAACCGGTATATAAGCTCTTGAGTTGAGCTAAGTAATCAATTGGATTCAATCTTTTAATGTGGTTTAGCCCAAGTGTCTTATAGCCCAGTCCAGTAGTCTTTACTCCATCTTAAATTCTTTCAAATAAGAAATTTTGAAAAAGTTTAATCGTTCATTATCTTTTTTATTTTTAATTTTTTTGAGCAATGATACAACAATTATCTAGAATCAATTTTTTTAAGAAATTTTTTTGCTTTTATTTATTTCTGATATTTTTGTTTTGTATTATTTGTACGCTTTTTGATCAATTATAAACTACAAAAGATATCAATTTTATCACTGGTATATCCAATCCGATATCGAGATCTAATGAGTCTAAATCTTGTACGCAATATCAAGGTCTCTTAGGGAAATGGGTACGGATCGGGAATACCTTTTTTTAATAAGCACGGGTATGAAACATCATAGTCCGATCCAAACCCGACCCATTGACAAACCTACATACGACTATATTTCACATAATATTTTCTAATTTATGACAATTTATCATGACACATTTTTCTCCAAACAACCCTTAATCACAAATAAAGAAAGCACCACCTAATCAAAGTATATCAAACTTTATAAAAAGAACCATGGCAAAAGTACACAAGAAGAATTGACAATTCGCCTATATATGAAGACTCGATTTTGTGTTCTCTACACTTTACGAGTTTAGGTAATTAATTTTTGAATTACCCCTATATTTTAATTAGTGAAATTTTTCTCTATTTTTTTCTTTTGTGTTTTTATTTTTATCATTGACTCACTTTTATTTTTAAAAATTTTTAAAAAAAACAAGTGTATATGTACGGGGAATATGATACAAGTATACAACACATCCCTCTGCTTTGCTTGTTTTCTTCCCCCATTTCTCCTTTCTTTCCCCTCTAATTTATATTATTACTCCGTATTAGATTCCTCCAATAGTCTTTATTTTATGCCCATTTTATTTCCCAATGACTCTCAGCTAAAACTGAAGCACCCCAAATCTCAATCTTTGGTTGCCTTTTCATACATAAGCGTGATTTCTATTTTTATATCATTTTGCTGTTTTCCAGTGGTTCATCTCTGACTTTTTATGATACACTACAAAAAGGGCTTTATGCACATTAATTCAAATTTGCTGTGAAAAAATAGCACAAGAATTAATAAAACTGATATATACATAAAAAAATATTTTTTTCCCCATTTTTATTCTGAAAAAGTCACTCTCTTCTGGGGAAAAATCAATTTTTTCTGCTAATAGGAACTATCCTCTAAAATTGTGTTTTTGAAATTAGGGGAGAAATTTAAATTTACAGATATGGGAAAGCATGGACCTTGCTATCACTGTGGTGTTACAAGTGAGTTTGTTATGATTGTATTTTCCTTGTAAACATATTTGAATTATTCAATAAAAGGTGGAATCTTTATGGGCTATTCCCTTCTGGGATGGGGAACCAAATACTCATATTCTGGTTTGCAGCCAAAGGGTAGAGATTTCCTGGAACTGAACAATAATGAGTAATGTGTGTTTTCGTTGCTATTTTCACCTTGTTTTGAGCTGGTTTTGCCTATTACTTAGATTTCTGTTTTCTATATTATTTCTAATATGAAACTGTTTGATGAACATTCTGAGTTTTGAGCCTTCATGTCCTCACCATTAGTTGCGTACTAGAAACACCTTTATGCTAATTCTACACTTGTGAGTGATCTAAATGTGTCTCAAGTAAAAATAAAGGGGAATTTAGTTCACTTCAATACCACCCTCCTTTGCAGCAAGAAACAAAAAATGTAAATATTTTTTTGTTGTGTTTGATCACTGCTTCTCAACCGTTACATCGTACTGCTCTTGGTTAAGTCTTTCTTGTTGGGACAATGTACAATCTGCTTCACTCTTCTGCAAGATTGATTTATTGCTAAATCTAGCAATGATATCTTTCTAAAAAGTATGTTAGATCAAGAATAAAATGCCTTCCTAAAACTGGGGTATGTTTTTTGGAAATGGTGTTTGGCATCATTCTGATAATGATGTTCTCTTGTAAATATAAATTTTTGTCTCCATGCCATTTTCAAGGTTCTAGTGATTGTCATTTTCTCACATTTGAAATAGGAATCTCATTTGGGAAGTCTCGGATTGCTGTCGACGCTATTTACAACAAAAACAAATACAGTATAATCCCAAGTCCCTTGGGGTCTTCGGGATCAAGATGACATAACAACAAGAAACCCGGTAAAATCCCACAAAAGTAGTGACTGGTGAGGGTGTGTATACGCTGATCTTACCCCTACTTGACATTAAACCTGCACCTCTCGACTTCTGAGTTCATATTTAGAACCCAGTCAACCCACTTTTCTCCCAAGCTCTTCTGTCAATGGATGTGCCACTTAAGACATGGGGAGGTCTTAATAATCAGTGGGGAACATGTTTGCTTCCTATTATCAATTTGCTCAATGGTTTCAGCTATTGTTTACTTGCCTTTCTATTGGAGTGTCGAAGTATGAAAAGTTTAAAGCATAAGGAGTACTCATTCATTTGAAGATATTTGCAGTGTTGTGATAAAAGTTTCTGAATCCCCACAAAAGAGAAAAAAAATACAAAATATCAAAACCCAGTGTTATCCCTATTCCCTACTTCCTTGGACTTTGAGGGGTCAACATGTATGCAACCTTATAATGCATTGCTTCACTTACTACCTAAAGTTTCATACTCCCTCTGCCCCATAATTATCTCCCTACTTTGCTATTTGGGTTGTCCCAAAATTTTCTTCCACTTTGTTTTTAAGAAAAGGATTGTTAGGTCCATATTATTTCTCTTTTCTCTACACAAATCACAACCCGAACACGTTCTACTTTATTAAAAATTGTGTCAATCCCATACAAGAAGATAATTATGGGACGGAGGGAGTAGAAATTAATAAGCTAAGGAAGTTTAATGTGTCATTTAATTTAATCCATTACTTATGCATAGCTAAAACATTGTCAAGTTATTTTTGTAAGGTCTGGATCAAGGACACATGTCTTTGATGTTTGTGGTTGCCATCATTTCTGGTTATCTTTATTTTGTTTGGTTGGTTGCTTTGGCTGTTCAAATGAACTTTTAAGCTGCTGCTGACAATTAATTTACGTGCAGGCACCCCACTTTGGCGTAATGGCCCTCCAGAGAAGCCAATTCTTTGCAATGCATGTGGATCGCGATGGAGAACAAAAGGAACATTGGCAAACTATACACCTTTGCATGCTAGAGCAGACACTGGTGAATTTGAGGACTACAGGGCCTCCAGGGTAAAAACCATACCACCTAAAACAAACGAAGCCAAATTTCTTAAAAGGAAGCAGGTTCATGACTATGCTGGGGATAAAGTTACTCCAGATTATAGTCAATTTTTACCAAAGGGTTTAGATGAAGACACAAGCAATAGATCAAGCTCTGGCTCTGCTATCTCAAACTCTGAAAGCTGTGCCCAATTTTCTGGTACAGATTTTAGTGATTTAACTGGTAAGTCTTTTTTTATATTCTTTAACTCTTTATTATATAGCAGTACAGCCTTTTCTTTAATCAAACTAATGGAA